ATACAGTAAAAACTCATGGTAAGAGAAGATTAAAAAGTATTGTTAGTAAGCACTGCTAGGGTACATGTAATATCAGTCCACACAAAAGAACAAAGAAGAACCACAAAATAAAGTGCAGTCACATAATAACATAATTTCATATAAATTTATGTTCTTGCACATTCACCTTGCATAAAGCTTACCATTCACACTGTCCATAATTTTTTTTGTTTTTCTCTTGTAATCCACCGCTCTCTTTCTTCTCTTTCAGCCTCCACTCCTCCCTTCTCCCTTAAATTCAAAGACATTAATAAATTAATAAAAGTCAGCTGTGTGGATAAAAATGATATGCACGTGTTCGTAATCCATTCCAGCCCTGATTAAAACAAGTTCACCTGGCTTGCGCCTGGGATCCAATCAAAAACCGGCACTTGATCAGCGATCAACTTCTCTAAACTTCAGCCCCTGGAGTATAGCATCACCTTGTTGCACAATGTTGTCCTCGTCGTGCGCACACACCTCAAGGCAATACCGCTCGCCAAGATGAGAATGAGAATTCCTATGTGCATTGTGCTCTGCTTGGTGACCCTTCGGGCCACTGAAGCTCCGCTCTCAGACATCCTTCTACAAACAATTAAAATGATATCCCACATGTGAGCATATCATTTTTATCCCCACATGTGTGACATAAATGAGCAATCTAACAACGGTAACTTTGCTTTTTGATTCACTGCCCGCTAAACGTAATCGAATTCGCTCCATGTCCGACATTTTTATATATCGGTATATCGTTTATGGCGCCGTCTTATTGAAACAACTTTAGGAAAAATCAAATTTGCCCACAAAATGGACTTGTTGAAATGCAGGGTTCTTAGTGGTCCCAATTAACAGAGAAACTTCAAGGATGCATGGCGTTTTGCTTTGCTTTTCCAAGTGATTAGTCAATAACAAGTACCGATTGAACAAGAAGAACATGAATTCAAAGGCTATTTAATTATACGGAAAAACAACAAGTATAAATGAACATATATTCTTTCACCGGGTATTAAATATTTATTCCATGGTTAGGTCAGGGAAAGAAAATGAAAATGAAAAAATATGAAAAGAATTCACAGCTAGCGACGAAAAATGAAAAGCTAGGCGCCACTGAATCAAAGGCGTTCGCAACGTCGAACTTTGTGGCGTTGCTTAAAATTTGCATTTTTATCTGACCCTATGTAAAAAGATAATTTCACAATTTCTGAAACATTATTTGCACCAGGGAGTAGCCAGAGAGCAGGATTTAGCGGAAAGGCGATGGCTTGTTCCGAGTTCAGAACTCAAGCCAAAATCCCGCAACATAAAAATAGCGTCGTGGAGTTAGTGAAACACCTGTCCGACCGTGTTCAGTGTATAAAGCCGACACTATTGCTTTGTAATGATTCTAGCTTTATACAATTACAAGTGGTATTTGTCATTAGTTCAGTCGGTTTGGCAAGTGTCTTGCTCCAGAGTTTCTTTCGTAAGATATTTTAACTGCGAAAGAAATGCCTACCTATTTGCATAAATTACGTAAGAATACAAGCGCTGATATTGAAAATTTTGTCTCAACACGATGTGAGAGAGGCATAATGTTAGTTTGAATTCATCAAACAAAAACCTCATTTGAAATATTTATTTCTTGTCTTCGCTTTGCAACGGCTTGAATTTGAAATTTTAATTCCCTGTTTGCTCCGACTCCGCAAACCCTCGTTGAAAA